TACGTTTCAGCACTGTGACTTGGAATAGTCTACTGCAGTATATGGATTCTGCTAGACATTAGAGGCTGACACTTCTGTTTTGACATTAATAAAATATGTGTAAGTAGGTACACAATAACAAAATACAATGAGGAAATGATCACACTGTAAAGTGCTGCAGCTTTAGGCAAGAGACTTTAATCACAGCAAAGGAGCAAAAGTAATCAAATGGTTCATCATATATTCAGGGAATTTTACCCTCCAGTGATAATCTCAAAGGAAGTGTGGACTAATTTAATGAGCTCCTTCAACATTTAAATTACATCATACTAAATTCACATTGTTTTTATATAAGTCACATTATATTTGCAGATAAAATGTGACCCTGCATTCTATACCTACGAATAGAAGCTTTTATTATAGGTACTTATATAGCACCGTCAGTTTACGCAGTGCTTTACATATATATTGTACATTCACATCAGTCCATAACCCTCAAGGGGTGTACAATCTAAGGTCCCTAACTCACATTCATACATACACTTACTAGGGCCAATTTAGACAGGGGCCAATTCACCTACCAGCATGTCTTTGGAGTGTGGGAGGAAACCAGAGTACCTGGAGGAAACCCATACAGGCATAGGGAGAACATGCAAATTCCAGGCAGGTGGTTCTGTGGTTGGGATTCGAACCAACGACCCTAGTACTGCCAGGCGGATGTGCTAACCATTTAGCCACTGTGCTGCTTTTCTAAGCAAGGCCTTAACAATGACAGCCAGAAATATTCTCTGAGCAGGTTCTCAATTAAGACTGCACCTCCTATTGCCTGGACATTGTGTTATTAAGTGTTCTTGCATGGCAAGACCACTTACTGTTATCTCACATATATATATTATTATTATAGCCAAATTTACCACCCTAACTCCTCCCACAGTTTTTACACTACATAGACAGTAATATACCGAAACGTGCGGATTGTTCCCAATTGTTGTGCTATTACTTTGTGGAACGTTTCGCCGAATGGTTCACGAAATATCAGCGTTTTTGTGGTGAAATTAGTCCCATAGGAATGAATGGCGCTGACAAAAGCTAGCGTGTGAGCTGAAAAATCAGGACATGATTTCTAAACTGCCATCACTCCCTCATTTTTAAGCCCACCTACACAAATCTTATATCAAAACATTCAGCTATCCCTGCTGCCACTAAAAATGTCCACTGCTAAGCCATAGTCCTGATAGTTTTCACAATATGACCATTTGTTTGCAACTCACGCCGCCCATTGACATTCATTGAAACTCCACTCTAGCCACCTCAGATTTGAAGGGCAATTTCTAAACTGCGACTGTGCCTTCATTTGTAATATTTCAGAGACATACTATGCATCAAAATGTAGGTCTGGGTCTTGTGATTCTCACAATCTAAAGCTCTTCGGTGTAGGATTTATAATTTTTTAAACTACAACCGTTTAAAGATGGCAACAGCCAGTGAAGTGAGCAAGTTGGAGCAGTTTGTTTTTCAACCGCTCTTCTCTGCCCTTGCTGTAGAGTGAGTTGCCATAGGAACCCAGGTGTGTGAGCAGGCAGCAGAGTGACAAAAGCTAGAGTGTGAGCTGAAAAATAAAAGTTGAAATGCATTTCTCACTATCAAGCTTGCCATGTGCACTTCCTTAAATTTGATCAATCAATTGGTTAGTGTAATGTTTACTATCTTTACTCACTCCAAACACTCCACACAGTTACTCTGCCCACTCCATAAAGTTACTCTGCCCAGTCCAACCTTTTCACAGTTACTCCAGCCACTCCAACCACACAACAGTTACTCAAGCCACTCCACCCAGTTACTCCGCCCACTCCAGTTGTAGACTACTGGTGGAGGCAAGAATACTTCACACAATTTCCCCAGAAATTGTAGCTTTTCTAGTTAAAGTAATAACTTAAAAAAAAAAATTACATTTATTATGAGTAAATGTTTGCTACAAATGTCTTGTGCAAATGTATTATATTACAATGTATTAATACCAAAAAAAGAACTCCAAAATTCAGCTTTTTCTTCATATATTTGTAGATATATTCTCTTTAACCACTTTGTAGAAATTCAGATACTTCCTGTCATGTTAATACTACTTACCAGCACAGGTAGTGAAGTAACATCTCCCTAGTGAGGATACAGATAACAATAAAAACCAGACGATACTGGAAAAAAAATCTTCAGAGGAGGAACGATGCATCAAGAAAAGCTTTCTATTTGCTGCAAAGGTAGTGCTACATACTTTCAATTATGGTGGAGGTACCCTGTCACACACAGACCATGGACAACAGTTTAGTAATTAATCCACATAGTTTTTCAATGTCTGTTTAGAACAAATAACCCACATATAATCCTACTAAAACAAAAGCCTGAAGAAAACACAAATCTTCATCATACATTTATGATTATTAATCTTTCTATTTAAAATAATAAAGCAAACAACAGCGAGAACATGAAAGTACGCAACTCTGGTCTTGAACACTGTAAAGAGTAAAGTATTACTACACCCATGACCCTGCATTCACTATATCTGGTCTCCCACAGTACACAGAACATGGAAATGCAATTATTTTAGTAAATATAAACTAATAAATACCTTTTCTCATCAGCAGTATATAGCAGTCTTTTGACTTCTATCAGTGTCCAGCCGAGCATCGGTTAAAGCTTGTAGGAGGTTTTTCATTCTGCTCTGACTGTCTAACCCCTGACCCCCTGTCTGGACAGCTCTGATTTGTGGCCCTGTACTGATCACATGCACCCTACCAAAGAAAAAAAAAAAACAAACTAGCAATACACACCAAACAGAGCATGTGCAGAGCAACTCCAAGGGCTCTGTGTTATCAGCAGATGGATTGGGGACAGTAGATGAAGGGGAAGATTAAAGAAGACAGGATCAAGCAGCCTTTTTCCACAATGTGGAGGATTAACCCCTTGAGTTCCACAGTGAGTATAACAAGCATGCTTTACTGCATATACAGACTGATTTTACGGTTATGGGTTTAGTAACGCTTTAACCGCTTCCAGCCTGGGACAATTCTGACATTCCTAGTGGGTGTTGCATATTTTTTATGTCACATGGTATTTGCGCAGCAGATTTTCAAACGCAAACTTTTTGGAAAAAATACACTTTAATGAATGTTAATGCACAAACACAATATAATACCCTATTTGTGTAAAATATAAAAAGCGGATGCTACAACGAGTAACTATAGATACCAAACATGTCATGCTATATAATTGCATACGCCCATGGAACGACGCCAAACTACAGTACTTAAAAATCTCCTTAGGCAACACTTTAAAAACCTTTACAGGTTACCAGTTTAGAGTTACACAGGAGGGCTGGTGATAGAATTTTTGCTCTCACTCTGACGTTCATGGTGATACCGCACATGTGTGGTACAAGCTCCGATTACATATGCATGCAGGATGCATACGTTCGCCTTTGCATGCGTGCACGGTGGGACATAAGGCACTTAAGAAAAGAAAATTAAAAGGGACAGTGTAAATAAAATAATAAAATGTTAAACTTTTTAAATCACTTTTATTGCGATCACAAAGAATGTAAACATCCCTTGTGATAACAATAAGCAGTGACAGGTCCTCTTTACTAAGACATCCCCTTCTGTTGCTTGTAAAAGTAATCCAGTGGCACTAAAAAATGACATCTCAGATATATCACCCTTCCCATCCAAGGATGTTCGGGTATGTACTATGGATGAGCAGTGGTTAATCTACATGGGGATAAAAAGTCCCACGGAACAAATTCAGGAAATTGTGGGCATCTTGGGCTAAAAGTAACTATTAATTGATTTTTTATGAATGACAATAGGTACCTTTTTCTCCATCCTATTATCCCTTCTACTCCCCCCCACCCCCCATTTTCCTTGCTGTTATTTTTCGTTTCCAAACTTTGACGGCCTAACTTTAATTTTGACTTTTTGCTCAATTTATTGATATTCATTCTAATATAACAATTATTTGGTACAAAGACAAAAAAAAACATACCACACAGCTCTTCTAACAAAACTATTATATTACCAAAATGTAGTGTACAACAATTATTACACACTGATGGACTTCTACTTTACTCTGACAATGAATAGGAAATTGTAAATCTTTATGTACGTTTATTTAGTGTGCCTATTGTATATTTATTGAAAATTCAATACAAAAAAATGATTGAAACAGGAAAGGTTTTCCAAGCTACAAAGTGCAAATAGAGATAAAAATAAAATCAACCACCTTTAAACACAGGAAAGGAAGGTAGATGCATTTAAAAAGCCTAGCTGCTAGAGCCTGGACGAGGAATAAGAAAAATGTTAAAACAGTTAAATGTTTATTGATTTTAAAAGACAGCTTACACATTTAGAAAGCTCTGAGTCTTCTGCCACAAGACTTAATTAATGTTACAGAATATTTCAGTAGTGTCCTGCTTCTAAGGTGGCAATATGCTGTGCTGCTGAATATGGAGGAGACATCACCAACATCATAAGTCACTGTAAGTAGCCAGGTTGCCATTAAAGTGTTACTACAACAGTAAAATCAGTTTGTATATGCAGTAAAGCATGCCTCCTACATTCACTGTGGAACCTAAGGGTTAATCCTCCACATTGTGTAAAAACATGGTTTGATCCTGTCTTCTCTGGTCCTCCTCTTATCCTACTGTCCCCAATCAATCTGCTGATAGTACAAAGCCCTAGGAGGCACTCTGTACATGCTCAGTTTAGTGTATATTGCTAGAGAGTTTTTTTTTTTCTTTGGAAGAGTGAAAGTGATCAGCACAGGGCCAATCAGCGCTGTCCAGACAGAGGGTCAGGGGTCAAGCAGCCTCATAGGACAGTCAGAGCAGAATGAAAACTCCTCCTACAAGCTTTAACCAGCTGCTCGGGTGGACACTGATAGAAGTCACAAGACTGTTATATACTGCTGATGAGAAAATGTATTTAGCAGTTTATATTTACTAAAAATAATTGCATTTCCATGTTGTGTACTGTGGGAGACCAGATATAGTGAATGCAGGGTCCTTCGCTTAGTAACATTGAGGCTGGCCATACATTATACAATTTTTTCTTGAGATTTTTGCTTTAGATTTACCAAAAACCATATAATAGGAGGTCAAGCCAAGCAACAATTTCAGTTGTATCCAATTAGGCAGGCCCTTACACTACACAGTTGAAGGTAAATCTAAAGGAAATTGGGCAGAAATTGGACAGAAAATTGTATAATGTACGGCCAGCCTAACATGAATAGAGCTGGTTAACTCTAGGAGGAACCCAGTTAAGACATGACAGTGTGCACAGTATTGATCCTGGGTATCAGCTTACCAGCAGCTTTGTTTGACTGGTGTGGAAACCTTGGTAAAGAATAATGAAAATGGACAGTGACCAGGGAGAGGACAGATTCCTCTGCATTGGCTGCATTGTATGCATGTGTGAAGAATGGGGGGCTCTATTGTATATAAGAATAATGGAGAGGGGCTGAATTGTATGTATGCATGAGGAATGGGGAGGTTCCATTGTATGTATGAGTGACTAATGGGGGGCTGCATTGTATGCATGTGTGAAGAATGGGGGGCTCTATTGTATATAAGAATAATGGAGAGGGGCTGAATTGTATGTATGCATGAGGAATGGGGAGGTTCCATTGTATGTATGAGTGACTAATGGGGGGCTGCATTGCATTGTTGATGCTCTGTATGCATGTGTGAGGGGAAAGGGGGTCTGCATAGTATGCCCATGTGAAGAAGAGGTCTGCACTGTATGTATATTTGTTAGCTGGGACAGGAGGGCTGCATCATGTGTACATGTGGGGAATAGGGGCTACAATGTATATATGTGCAAAGAATGAGGCACACATATGTATGCATTTTGGGGGGGGGGGGGGGTTGCATTGTATGTATATGAGAAGAAGAGGTTGCATTGCAGGTTATATTGAGGTTCATACACTAAATTGACAAAAGTATTGGGATACCCCTACAAATCATTTAATTCAGGTATTCCAATCACCTCCATGACCACAGGTGTATAAAATCAAGAACCTAGACATGCAGACTGCTTCTACAAACATTTGTGAAAGAATGGGTCGCTCTCAGGAGCTCAGTGAATTCAAGCATGGTACCGTGATAGGTTGTCACCTGTGCAATAAGTCCATCCATGAAATTTCCTTGCTACTAAATATTGCATGGTCAACTGTTAGTGGTATTATAACAAAGTGGAAGCAACTGGGAGCAACAGCAACTCAGCCACGAAGTGGTAGGCCACCTAAAATAAGAAGAGCGGGGTCAGGGCATCCTGAAGTGCACAGAAGTCGCCAACTGTCTGCAAAGTCAATAGCTAAAGACCACCAAACTTTCTGTGGTCTTCAGATTAGCACAACAGTGCGTAGAGAGCTTCATTGAATGGATTTCCATGGCTGAGCAGCTGCATCCAAGCCTTACATCACCATGTGCAATGCAAAGTGTCAGATGCAGTGGTGTAAAGCACGCCGCCACTGAACTCTAGAGCAGTGGAGACGTGTTCTCTGGAGTGACAAATCCCGCTTCTCTGTCTGGTAATCCGACGGATGGGTCTGGGTTTGGTGGTTGCCAGGAGAACAATACTTGCCTGACTGCATTGTGCCAAGTGTAAAGTTTGGCAGAGGGGGGATTATGATGTGGGGTTGTTTTTCAGGGGTTGGGCTTGGCCCCTTAGTTTCAATGAAGGGAACTCTTAGAGGTGTCAGTATACCAAGACATTTTGGACAAGTTCAACTTTGTGGGAACAGTTTGGGGATGGCAAGCCCATTCCTTTTCCAACATGACTGCACCAGTGCACAAAGCAAGGTCCATTAAGACATGGATGAGCGAATTTGGGGTGGAGGAACTTGACTGACATGCACAGAGTTCTGACCTCAAACCAATAGAACACCTTTGGGATGAATTACAGCGGAGACTGTGAGCCAGGCCTTCTCGTCCGACATCAGTGCCTGACCTCACAAATGTGCTTCTGGAGGAATGATCAAACATTCCCATAGACAAACTGCTAAACCTTATAGACAGCCTTCCCAGAAGAGTTGAAGCTGTTATAGCTGAAAAGGGTGGGCCAACTCAATATTGAACCCTACAGACTAAGACTGGGATGCCATTAAAGTTCATGTGTGTGTAAAGGTAAGCGGCCCAATACTTTTGCCAATAAAGTGTATATGTCTTTGAAACTCTTGTTTGTGGCACAATAATTAGAGAGACCCTATCAGCAGATCAAGCTATTTAAATGCTTTTGTGAAAAACATGTATAACAGATACCTTTGCTATTTTTTTTACTTGATGGCCATTTCCTTTATTTTTAAGCTCTGCAAAATGACAAGGAATCTGACACCTTGGGGGTGTCAGGATCTAATATCTTCCAGCTTACTCTGCATATGCAAGCCGCTTTTCGCGGTTAGCCGCTGCACTGTCAGTGTGCAATGCTGCAGAGAGCTACTGCCATTACTACAGGTATGATTCAGCTTGCATACAGCTTTCGAGAGACGCACACTGTTAATGATAAAGCAAAGGTCTTTTTGAAGTATATTTTGTGGGTACATGGTGTGTGCACGTTTGACCTCTGTGTTCTGTATGTTATGCACTGTTGACCCCTGTGTTCTGTGCATTAGGCACTCCTGACCCCTAAGCTCTTTGCATTACACACTCCTCTTCCCTGATTTCTATACACTATGCTGTGTATTTCATACTCCTGACCACCGCACTCCTTTATCTGATCAATTGTTGGTTGCTCAGTAGTCAGTGACTATGTTAATGAAGTTCTTTATTAAGGTAAGCTGTGTGCAGAAAAGGATATGTAATGGAAGGGTTTCATTTTTTACAAAATGATTGTGCGGAGATTTTTATGCGTCTGTTAGAATTCTGCTTGTGCCACAGTATTTAAAGAAAATTTTGGGGTATAATAACTATTGCAAAATGCTACCCTCTACACAAAAACTTAAAACTCACGTTTTAAGCCTCTCCTGCTGTGAGCTCAATTTTGCAGATCTGCATCTCCCAATGGTACATTATTCATGTAGCCCCCATTATCCCCCACCAGGAAATTATCTAAGACCATGGATTTTAAAACCCAAAAGGTAGTGTGAGGTTCTTGTGTTTAAATAGAAGATACATTTATAGTTTAGGTAGGCACTCTGCAGAAGCCAGTTATACAGTATATTATAGTCCACTGCATTGATATGACCCGTATAACGGAAAGAAGTACAATAATCATACCCCAGGTTTGGAGGAAGAAGGGGGAAGGAGGGGGAGGATGAGGAGAAGTAGAAGTAGAAGGAAAAGAGGAGGAGGAGAAGAGAAGGAGAAGGAGGAGAAAGAAGAAGGAGGAGAAGAAGGAGAAGGAGGAGAAGAGGAGAAGGAGGAGAAGAAGAAGGAGAAGGAGGAGAAGAAGAAGTAGAAGGAGGAGAAGTAGAAGAAGATATCTTTTTTCGCAGGTATAAAAGGTGTTCATTTTTTTTTACTAGGAGCCTCCAAAGCATTGCACCTGTGATCAGATTGCAGATGCAATGCAGGACTCCTGCTGACTTTTGGTGTAAGCTGTCAGCTCGTACCTGGCAAGCAGTTACACAATGACAGGAAGAGACAATGAACTACCTAGAGTGTTCAACAGCACCCTGGTAGTTCATTGAGAAACTACAAGCCAACAGTACTTGTAGTTCCCCCATTCACAGAACTCTGTGAATTAATAATGTGCCTGGGTGAGCGGAGTACCACTCAGCTGCAATTTTTTTTTTTTAAATTGTGGCAGTGAGTTTGGGGAGAAGATCCACAGCTTTCTCTCGCTGATGAGTTGGGGACAGACTCCAGCAGTGGGAACATGTTAGATGTTCCACCCTAAAAATGAGGATAACATGTAATGTCCCCTTGAACTTATCCTTTAAACTTGTATATGAATGGCTGCGCTTTCTACTCTGGATGCTTGTGTTTGATATACATTTGGTTTGATTGCAAAAGCATAGTTTATGTAGTATATGAACGTGTTAAATTAAAATGACCATTTCTTTCCAAAAGGTAGGTCAATGATCTAACCCGTTCCTAGAACCCATGGTAAATTTAGTTCACTATTGGAAACTGGCATTCAATGATGTTTTCAACACGTAATGGTCACAAAATAGTAAACAGTTCCATGACACTTTCAGCTAGTAAACCAGTGTTTACAAACCATCCAGGAAAGAACTGCTAGAAAAGAACTCCTTCTGGGGATGATTTGCTGCTGTGTTACTAGTCTTAGGACTGTGAGACATTTGTAGCTCATCTGACATGAGACAATATGTGGCTTTCCTATCAACAGATTGGAGCCGCAGTGATTAAAAAAACTGAGACTCATTTTTTTTCATCACTTCCTTTTTTTTTACATAAATTTTTTACATTTCATTGACCTTTATTGCTATGCACATATCAACTCCAAACTGCTCAGATCTAAAAAGGCAGCAGTTGCATTTTGTGAAAAAAAAATTCACTACACATAATTCAAAATCAATATTAATGATTTAACCACATATTTATGGAGTGCTCTCCCTGGTGATTATGCCACATTCAGTAACATGTTCAAGACCTAAAATCTAATCAGTGATAATCATGAAAGCATAGTACTTACAGCAAAGAGGTCTCTTTATTCAGAAGACTAAAACATGAGGGGGTGTGGAAAATGTTATGCTCTAATAAATTGATTTACAAATTGTATAGTGGGTGGGATTAAGTATGTATTTGCAGAGCAAGTCGGTGCGTTTAGTCCAAATGAAACCTGGAAAGGAAGGTGCTGCAGTACAGAGAAAATAACAAAGGTTACACCAAACACACAACAGGATGGAAGGTTGGCAAATAATCTTCTTATACAGAATGTAGCAATCATAAACAGTTATCCTACCATTGGATCATGACCTGTGAACACCAGAAACTGCAGTCACTTTGCTTAAATTATGGGGAAAATTATATGCAATTTAAGGTCAATAAACTATTCATGCAGTTGTCATGTTTCATGGTGTTTGATGTGTCTACCTATCGGA